CCAAAAGCAGGTCACTGAGCTGCAGATCCAAGTAGCGACTCTAGTGAAGACGCATGGACAGCAACATTGGAAGACAAAGAAAGTGAGGATCAGACCATGTGCAGTTGCTTTTTACTTTAGTCTTAGGAGATAGGCCCAAGTCCAGGTGGCCAGAGGCCGTCCTCGCTATAAGTCTAAAAAAGATACGTTCCAAAAAACTTGGACTAATAGCGAAACAACTTAAAGTGGGGATTCCCCCCCCCCCCCCCCCCTCCCCCCTGGACACAGCACAAACTTCCTCTGCCTCCATATCACCCCAATGCCAGCACCTACCTACCCCATGCAATCAGTCCCTTATCTCCCCTTTTCCAGGAAGCTTGAGGAGAGTACTGAATTTCTGCCTCAATTACATTTACACAGGCTTTGAGGGCAGGATGCCTTTGAGGCATATGGAAACTGTCTGAGGATGTGATAGCCCATCCCATCCTTGTCAGCCAAAACGTCACTTCACTGCTTTGAGCTTCTTTGTTTTAGTGTCATTCCTTCACCTACTGCTGCATAATGGCTTTCATCTAAGTTACATTTATTTTAAAAGTGAAGGTACCAACCCCCCCTCTACATATAATTCTTCTAGAAAACACAGAGGCTGCGTCTAGACTGGCAAGTTTTTCTGCAAAAGCAGCTGCTTTTGTGGAAAAACTTGCCAGCTGTCTACACCGACACTGGCGATCTCATGTAAGATTGTCAGTGTTCTTGTGGAAATACTATGCTGCTCCCGTTTGGCAAAAGCCCTCCTGCGCAAATGCTTTTGCACAAGAGGGTCAGTGTAGACAACGCGGTATTGTTTTGTGCAAAAAAGCTCCGATCACGAAAATGGCGATCGGGGCTTTCTTGCGCAAAACCGTGTCTAGATTGGCATGGACGCTTTCCCGCGAAAAGTGCTTTTGTGGAAAAGTGTCCGTGCCAATCTAGACGCTCTTTTCCGCAAATGCTTTTAACGGAACAACTTTTCCATTAAAAGCATTTGCGGAAAATCATGCCGGTCTAGACGTAGCCTAAGATTGCTAGGACTGCCTTGAGACATATTACAGAATTGAATAGTAAATTATAGGCCTGCTATTCAGTTCTATAGGGTGGCTCAAACAAAACAATAGAAAGGGCATAACTTCTTATGAAATGTTACAGGTTTTTAGAAAAACTTCTATAGAACCATGTTGATTTCACTTGGTTGCCTCCTGGAAGGCCTGTGCATGAGGGCAGGTCCTGGAGGCTAAAGTCTTATTTCTCTACAGAAGAGTTATAGCCTGGTCAATGGCAGTGCTATCTACAACCTCCTCCCCTCCCGTGCCCTTCCTACTCACCCTTCTGCTGGGGAACACCTCTGTTTTAGACAGAGGAGTCCAGTTCCTATGATGCATTCACTCCTGTACCTCTTTGTTGTTATTAATTAGTGATCATGTTCATTACAGTGGTGCCCTAAGGCCACTCAAGAATAGGTCCCATGGTGCCAGGTTCTGTAGAGAGTAGTACCAGGAAGAACCTTCCCTGAAGAGTTTATGGTCTAGAGAGAGGAAATGGCCACAGTGTAGGGGCAGGGGAAGAAAACACAATCGGAGTGAATAATGTGACTGTTGCCACCACACTGTATTTTATTTTGGGGAGCTGGGTTTAGTTAGGAGCAGATAAGTTAAATGGCAAACCAAGTACAGGGACATTGAAGGAAAGGGCTAAGAGGGGAGCAGAGCTGGTTTTAAGGGGGATAGGTGTGGAGTGAAGCAAAGGTGAGGAGATTGAGGGAAGGGGAAGGAGAAGGTTGGAACAAACATCCAATCAGCACAGGATAGAGAAAGTCAGGTCCAAGCTCCAACTCTTCACAAGGAGGCTATGCTGGTAGTTATGGTGTCTAGGAGACATCTCCACTGGGACTAAGGCAAAGAATCCTTTTAATGGGATGGCTGATGGATCCCACATTTGTGCACAGTGCTGCAGTGTGTGGCTTGTAGGCACCATTGCTGACTTATGAGCAAAGACCTCGGAAAATAACTGTCTAAGGCAGCCCAGATGGGATGTGTCCATCCAGGTTCCTCTAGGTCAGTGTTTCCCAAATCATGCTCCGCAGAACCCTGCGGTTTTGTGAAGTGAAAGTAAGGGCTCCGCGAGAACTTGATCACTCCCCCCCCCTTAAAGAGACAGAAAGGAGCTAGCTCCTTCTCTGGTTTTCCGCCGGCTTTCAGACACCTCCCCTGCCCTCCCCTGCTGCCACTCTGCGTTTCCAAAGCCCGCTCGGGACATGCGTGACCACATTTTGGCCCCCACGAGGTCTCCCTAGTCCAGTTCCCGTGGTGGGTTTTTTTTTCTTGACAAATTTCTTCCCCTCCCCCCCCCCTCCGGCTGTAAGGGTTCCTCGAAATTCTTCCGAGTTTAAAAGCGTTTAGTGGCCAAATAAAATTGGGAAACGTTGCCCTAGGTATTTCTGTACAGCATTCCCTCACTTGGTATTTCCTTCACAGCATCCAGTAGGGTCAATGGACAATTGGATAGACGGCAACAGTGACCACATCCAGAGGGAGGACTTTGCTCTGAAGTCAATGGGTAAGCCGAACTCAAGGAAAATGGGCTCTCCTTCCACAGTGAGGGATGCTCTTAATTGGGGGGTAAATGGGGAAGCTAACTGCATATCACACTGGAAGAAAAGTGCCCACGCCTAGATCCCATTAGCATACCCAACAGTAATATCACAAGACTGAATTTCAAAATCTGTTCCCTGAGTTGCATATCTGTCTGGTGCACATGTGTTATAGATGTAACTTACTCTGCAGGTGTTTGCTGTGTCTTCTGGCAAAATTTTCTCACACATTCTATAATGTCTGCAGGTGCCTCTGTTGTGAAACACAGTGAAAGCTACAAGACAGGTGCACAGATTTGTATGTTTTGGCTCTGCTGGGAATATTCACGGTCTCCAGATGTGATTCTACAGGTAAGAATCCCATAAAACTACCTCTGTTTCTTCTCTTCTGGTGGCTTGAATCCTCTCTCCACCCCCATCTCCACCAGAGCTGGGATGATATAGGGAAGGCAGAGTCTCCAGCAGAGAGAATTGACCCCTGTAGATAAGATCAGCTGTCTTCATTAGCAACAGCAACGTCAATGAAGCAGGGACTGCTGTGAGATCTAAATGGGTCATAAGCTATCACAGTGCAGAATGCAAAGCTAAAGGCTGATGTTTCAGAAAAGGATACTAAGCTAAAAAGCAAAAAGTTCTCAAAATCTCAGGTTCACAGCTGTGTCGAGATTGGGACAGAAATTACCTCTTGGCAAGGCATGAGTTCTCCTTCCAAACCGATTCCCAGATGTTCTAGGAGGAGAGAGGCTTTTGTCACGGAGCAGTCTCCTCTCCTCGAATATCACTGCTGGGTGTTCAGTGCCATTCATAGCTGCCAAGGAAATACAGAATCCACAAACTTGGGTCTTGGCAGCAAGGCAAAGGCAGAAGGAGGGTAGGGAAGAACAGTCGAGGCTTTCTTCAAATATTTTGCTTTCAAAAGATCAAAAGCAAGTTAACATAATTCCAAAATTTAAACCCTAGCTCATGGCTAAATCCAAACACAGCCAGAATAATTGAGAAGACTATTTCACTGTATTCCAAAACAAACAAGCAAACACAAATCCTGCATTAAAATATATTAAGGTTGCTAAAGTGATAACATGGTTGCCAATTGTGTCAATAACAAAATTTAATTGCTGAGAAACAAGCAGATTTCTAGGTCAGAGAATCATAAATCTCTTGCTGAGAAAACACGTAACACATTCGATTCAAGAACAAAGAAATGCATGGTCTTTGTGTAGAATAACTTAATAGATGTAGCATAACAAGAAAAGTTTTTAAGATTGACTTATTATGAAATCATCTAGGCACACTTCCATTATTATGGGTATGAATTAAGGTTGTTGTGATGAAGTATATGTTTCTTTATGTTTGGTGCGAATGTGAATGTTATGTGGGCAGCAATGTCATGCATTTCCTGGCTTTTTAGATGCTTGACTTTTGCCAAGGGAAGGAAACTACATTGTTGTTACTTAGCAACCTTAATGGGTTTTTGTAAATGAAGTCTTTTGATTTGGGAATGAAGCTGGGTATCCCTTTTTAAAATAAATATTTCATGTTCTGTTTTGTACAATTAAATGAGACTTTTTTTAGGTAAGTGGATGAGTGGGCATCCGTATTATTCAATTAAAATAATGAGTGACTGAGGTTAAGCTAATAATGGCTCTTGCAGCGATCTGTCCCAATCAATTCACATTACGCAAGAGATGCAGATTCAGTATAATAGTTTAGTTATCCACAAAGATAGAGGTACCACAGCCTACCTTTCCTATGGAGGCTGGATTAAAAACAAAACAAAAAAGCAACAACCAACCAACCAAATAAACAAAAAACAGTGACAATCATAGAAAATTAAGTATCAGATCTAAGAGTGGAACTCGGGTCTTAAATTGCCCTGCCAAATCACTAAATGTCACTCCACTTTGATTAATCCCTCTAAGAATGTGGCCAATAATACTTACTCTTACTATTATTCCATGTTATAGTGGACTTATCTCAGTACAGAGCATCTCAGGCAATTTGTATGATAGTCTCTGATGGGTGAGGAGACATGGATTTACTGCTTTAGGCTCTGTCTGAACTAAGGAAATTGCTTTACAAATTCCCAAGATTGGTAATAATGGTCCCGGTTGTTATGCCCAGATGCACCCAGAATTAGGCAAATGACCAGCCCAGTACAACTGTTCCTTCAGCCCCTTTGGAACCGGTAGTCATAGACAGACCATAGCGGAGAATTGCAGTGGACGGGTCTCACCCTTCAATTGCACTGTATGGCTTCACCCTGTTGTCTCTCATAGAATTTTATTCATGTTACACCTTCATAGTCATAGTTTCACAAGGCCTCAAAAGACTCCTTTCTTGCCTAGCCTCTTTTCTGGCCATGTTTGACTGGGTACTGCATTAACACATGCTTTGTATGATATTTGGAATATATCTCATAAAAATGTTGGAGAAACCCCATTCTACGGCTTTTCAGCCAGCCTCTGAGGACCAAGTTGTCTACGCTGAAGGAAAAGGTACATCCCATCTTTTCACCATCCTTGAAGTTGACTTTTGAGCTGAGCAAACCTGCAAGTTTTAAACAAGAATAGCTAAGCAAGATTGCAGGCTTTCTGTCCTGGACAGGCAGGCTCAGTTAGGTGAGGGTTAGGAAGCGTTTTTGACACTCAAGATGTTGGCTGCAGGATACAAAGGGCAATGAGTGCTTTTTCCATGGGTGTTAATCACAAAGGGTGTATTTACATTGTACCGTTATTTCGAGATAGCTAGTGATATTCTAAAATAGCAATGAGAGCGTCTACACAGCCATTCCATTATTTCAAAATAATTTTGAAATAATGGACGGCTTATTCCGAAATTGGTAAACCTCATTCTACGAGGAATAACGCTTACTCTGAAATAGCTATTTTGAAATAAGGCGTGTGTAGATGCTCCACTGCTGCTATTTCAAAATAGCCTCTCACCAGGGCCATTCTAAGTTATTCCTCCCCAGTGCTTCCAGAGGCTCTAAATCGAGATAGCACATCTACATTAGGGAAGCCTTCCTCAGATTAATTTTGAGGCTTCCCTGCAGTGTAGACGTGCTATTTCAAAATAAGCTATTTCAGAATAACTATTCCGGAATAGCTTATTTCAAAATAGCCGGGCAGTGCAGACATACCCTAAGACATACTTCCTCCTGAAAGGGGAACAGATTGGGAGGATTGTCTGTGTCTGATGATGATGTGTGGCCGGTTGGAGAAGCGAATCAGAGGCATCACCCAGGGACTGCTGAACTTCGGTGGAGAAGGGAAGGGAATGGTGATAACTGGTGTGCCTTTCACCTTCCTGCAGTCTGCTCCTTATTCCTATTCCTGAATCCTTCTTCCTGAACTCAGTGGTCCGGTTCCTGTTTAAGGCTCTGTATGTGTGCACCCCATTAGGTGTGTGCAGCTATTCAGGGCTTGCTGATAAATATCTGCTGTTTGGACTCTGACCATGTTTTGAGCTAACCAGTTCATGGTCATTACACTTTTTGATTGACAGCCTACCTGTGTGTCTTGCTTCATTTGTGTATGTGTTTTTTCCATTGTTGTTCAGGGGTGTACATATACTCAGATCCAATAGCATTAGCCGTGAGGGCAGCTTTAGTGTGCAGGGGATTTGGCATTTTAACCATCCAATCACATTGCGCTCCCAGAAAAACTCTAATCAACCCGATGAAATGCCAGCAACCCATCTACTCTGATTTGTGACCTTCCATCAAAAAAAGCTTCTGTTTCCCATTTTGCTAGGAACATTGTCATCCTGGAATGTCTATGGCACCAGAGTATGGTGCTCTTTAATGGGGTCTTACAGCCATAGAGTCACAAAGTGCAATGTTGGAAGGGACCAGCAGTCCATCTAGACATATCTGAAATGCAGTTCACTATTTTATATTGCTTTTGGGTTCCAGCGGGATAACGCCCCAGGGAACTGCTGGGCTCTGCGTGGATCTCGCGGCTTTGTCGTGGTTAAATTAGCCAGAGTTATCCAACCGCTGGCTGTCACGCTGGATCATATTGCCAAGAAAGATTCTCAGACAGAAGAGATTTCCAGTGCCCCCCAAAACTTTGCCATTTATGTGAGTAACTTTCTCACCTTTGCAATGAGACTGAGCGCTGCATGCTTGCTGCTAGCTCACATGGCAGAGCTGATTGGTACCGTGGGCCGATCACGCAGTGGGATTAGTGGCACACTGCAGTAGCCTTTGGTGAGCATGTTGTGTGTCTCCGAACCTGGAATGAGAAATTCCATCTCCTTCCTGTTTCCTCTTTTAGGGGCTGAAAGAAGATTTTGGAGAGAAGGGAGCTGCTTTCTTAGGGGAGTTTGTCTATGATCAGGATGGGTTCCCTGTCCAAACATTCAAGCTGGAGGTATGCTATGGGGTTCCAACTAGAAGAAGGCTGCATCGCTTCATTTGATCCAACCATGATGCTGAAAAATATCTGTCACGGTGACTGGCCTAGCAACCCCTCTGTCCTCTCACAGGTTTCTGAATGCGCCCACTCCAGTGTCAGGCCTTGTGCCTTTGTCTATCTTTGAGTGAGAATTTGCAATTATCACACTGTACATTTTACCTTAGATCAACTGTTATTACCCGGATGGGATGACTAAATCTGGGGTCCTGCAGTTCTGGCCTTTGGGAAGGAATGGCCAGAGGTACATAGTGACCAACCTTGCTAAAACAAATGTATTTGTTTAGCTGTAGGAATAAAGCTTTAGAAAAAAAAAGGATTAATAAACGAAGCCTACACACATCTATCTTCCCTCGAGAACTACCATGGAATGATGGCAACTTAGGCCTCATTTTTCCAGACCTCTCCACCTCAGTGGGCCTCAGGGATTGGGGCTGGTTCCCCCGCCCAGATTGGGCCTTTTTAAACCCTGCTACTTTTTTGTTCTTTTGTATTTTTGCACCGTGGTCATTTCTAAATCAGACTATTTCATAGGCTGGTGGGAACCAGAGCTAGAATCTTCCAAGTTGAGTGTTCTGGCTTTATCCCTTAACAACTCATAAGTGTTTGGTGAGACGGATGTGGAGCCATTCTTCTCCTTCCTGCCTTGATGAGTCAACTCAAGATAGTCATTCAAAAGCTATCTCAGTAACCAAGCCAACTACAGTACCAATGTGTGATTACAAGACAGCTCCGAATTCATCACTATGTTGTCTTCACATGTGTGGTAGAGTGGGGTTGGAGGCAGTTTGATGGGGCAAAGGGAGAAAGCAGCAGAGGGGTGATATGTGTTCAATCCCTCCTCCAGCCAGACCCATTTACATCCTGTGCTCATTTACATGAGTTCATGGGGGAGAGACTGGATGCAGTGGAACATAAATTGCCTAGGGCAATTGTGAAATCTCCATCACTGGAGATTTTGGAGAGCAGGTTAGATAAACACTTGTTAGGGATAGTCTAGATAATACTTAGTCCTGCCAGGAGTGCAGAGGACTGGACTAGATGACTTCTTATGGTCCTTTCCTGTCCTGTGATTCTATGATTCTATCTCCTTACAGAACAAACAATTGATCTTTCACCGGTCTGGTTCTTTCCTTCTCTCCCTCAGGATGCAAATGCAGATCAATTCAGATATCTACAGCTGAGAGTCTTGAGCAATTGGGGCCATCAAAACTATACGTGCATCTATGGGCTTCGTGTGCATGGGAACCCAGCACTCTGATGAACCAGCAAGAATCCACATGAAATAAATAATTACACCTGGGTAATGCTTTCACTTTGATAGTGTTGGTCTGGCTAGTAACAGACAATGGAAACTGCCTTGTTTCTCTATATTACTTTTGCCTCACTCCCAACTGGGGAAGATGGTTAAGGAAATGTAACCTGATTCTTAAAATCTAAGTTGTGGCCATGGGCAGAAAACAACACTGTAAAAATGGCACCGTCTTACATCACTGATCTGCTCCCAGAGTATATTCTGAATCCAATTTGCAGATTTAATGGGCCAAAATATATTTTAACAAGTCCTATTAGTCCTGATGAGCCAATACTTTTAGGAAAGACTGAACCCGAGTCTGTCCCAGCTTGAATACCATCCACTGACTTGTTAACAAGGCTTTGTTTGTAGAATGGACATTACTGTTGCTGACACATTGTAGTCAGAAAGAACCAAGCTGGACTTTCAAATTCCAGTGGGCTGGCTGTTAGTGTAGAAATATAATTCTCCTTGCAATTTTAATCTGGGAAAAGAGCACCACAACAAGAGTGGAGCCCACAATACCATTTGTAGGGTCACTTTTCAGAGCAGAACCACATTTTAAACTCTGTTCCTAAAGAATTAGAGACATTTGTGACCCTGGTGTCTTTCAAAGTCAGAAAACACCTATGCTGGGCTGAGGCAGTCAGGTCCTGGCTACCCAAAAGAGAGTCTACTTCTTAAGAAAAACATTCTGGATATGTCTACACTACCGAGTTTTTTCGGAAAAATGGCCGTTTTTCCGAAAAAACTTCAATTACGCCCACACTGCAATTGCGTTCTTCTGAAAGAAAATAAAAAGAACAGAGGGGTTTTTCTGACATTGGTAATCCTCATTCTACAAGGAAGAAGCTTTTTTCTGAAAGAGCTCTTCTGGAAAATCTTCTTCCAAAAGAAGCCTGCAGTCTAGACATAGCCTCAGTCATCTGCTATTAAAACGCACTTCTGCATGCTTGGAAGGAACAGTCATCTCACTAAATGTCATGAATGCAGTGCAACCCCAAGTGTGCTAGTCATTTTCCAGACAGGAAGCAAAGGGGTGAAATTCTGGCTCCACTGAAGTCAATAGGCATTTTATTATTGTCTTCAGTGGAGCCAGAATTTCATCCAAGTTCCCCACCCTGAACAATTTACAATCTAAACAAGACTTAAAGGGGCCCATTAACAAATCGTAGGACAAATCCTAGGTGTAAAAATCAGCATCCCTTTGCACCAACTGAGGATCTAGCCTCACATATTGAAAATACCTCGTTACTAATAGTGCATTAGATTGTAACAAGCGCAAGAATTTCAGAAATCCACTCTTTACTATTTTTTTAGTATCAAAGCAGAGATAAATGCAAATACAAGTTTTGACATGTTTATAGTCAGGATTGCTTTTAGCTTTCCAGTGCTACAGTGTCTGGGTTTCAAACACTGCAGACGGATGTGGATTTAACAACTAGTGTCTTCACTGTGGGGTTTTTTTTAAATACCCATCGGTTTTATGGTTTTCTAAATTTATTTTTATTGGTACAAGTTTAACTTGATTGTGTTCCTTTAAACTCTTGCGGAGACAATTTGTTAGTGGCCTTACAGTGTCTGTGTAACTCTTTGTAATGGAGGACTTCTCACTATCTCATACGACTGTATTTTATAATAGGCCCTTTGCCAGTTCTTGCCATATCCTGATGTCTGTGGTCCCCTACTGGAAAAAATAAAGTACAACGCAAATCTCAACGTTTGAAGGGGAAACTAATATATTTTCATTGAACATGGCACATATCAATTACTGTTACCATACAGCTGCCAAAATTCTCTGTGTTTTGAAACTCTAATAGGATGTAGGTGTTTTCATCTTCAAGTGAGTTTGAACTGTTCTAATCATGCCGGTTGGGAAAATGTTTGTAACTGCATCTGATTTCAGTTTTGATTTACCATTTCGACAGGTAAGAAATGTTCATACAGTCCTGAAATGATCAAAATGGACATAGTAAATCTGCTGTATTTTAGGGATTTAAACATCTTCCTGCTATACCTGTTCTTTTTTCAAAAAACTGAAGACTATTTTCTTCAGAAAATAATTGTTTGCTGCTTTTATTAGTACAACTACATCCCTCCCACTGTGGGTGATAGCATAGTTACTGCAAATAAGCAAGACAGCCTGTCAATTACAGTATATAGGCTATAGTGATACCTCACTAATTTAAAATATATTTTCTAAATAAATATTAGTCATTTAATGTCAATGACAAAATGCCAGTGATTATGATCCATGGAAGGAAAAGCCCAAAGAAAATGATCATGATAGATATTTGTGATTATTTTAATATACTGTGATAATGTAAGTATTCCTCCAAGCAGCAATTTGTTTAAGCTCTGTAGGAAGTCTCTTCTTACCCCTCGCCCCCTTCATAGATTTGCTCACCACTGATTTAAGCTTAACTGAGGCTCTCTGTGAAAATGGAGTTTTTCAGCTTTCAGCCTGGGGTCTGCTTTCAGCTTGGTGTCTGCTATTTTCGTCTCGTTTTTGGGTGCTTTCCCATGGTGCTATACGAGAGGCACTTCTCATCTGTATTGCATGGCACACGGGAAGCAGAAGCAAATGTAGCCACCTGTTTCTGTGGGTGCATGCTACTTCACTCGTTTTGGACGTGATTTTGAGATGTAGACAAGGGGAGCATGGACCACCAGCAGCCTCCTCTGCCCTGGCACTGCAACCCTGCTCCCAGCCTAAGGTGGAGGGATAGGACAGTGAGCTCACCCTGCACTCACCCCACAATGTGCTCCTGTCCTCAGGACGGGGCCCTGCTGCCCAGTACAGGCATTGTGACCTGGTACGCGGGCTCTACTGTGCCACTCTGGTTCAGCATTCTCGGTTTTATGATTTTTGTGGGTGCAGCTGAATCCATGAATCTACACTAATGCCACCCCTGGCTGTGAGGAACCCAAAAGTAAATGCTGCCCTTTTAAAATGAAAGGCTTTGGGATTTAATTAAAGGCACTGTAAGCACAATGCATTCAATCACTGCTAGTGATTTGAGCTCGATGCTGCATTTTCAAGAGCTGGGATGAATAAAATGTAACTCAGCAATCAGAAAAAATGTTGAGTGTTTTTATTTGGGAGGAGAGGGGGCTGGAGCAATGGGAAGACTTACTTACATTTCAGCTCAATACTATAAATGGGGCTTGAGATTTCACAGAGGAGATTTTACCTGTATAAGACTTGCTACCATTCTGGGATAAGCTGTTGTTCTTAGACTCAGAAAGGACTGGAATATGCTTGAACACTCATGGGTCTGAAGTTTGCTTTTTTGAGGAATTCGTCGAATTAGCATCTTGTGAAAGCTGTGCTTTGTAGGTGGTCCTAAAAAGTGCCCCTCGAGTAGCAGATTCACATAGTGGGGGAAAAGTCTACTACTGCAAGGCCTGCGTGTGGTGGACCATGCAACTCAATCATGATAGAAAGGAATTCCAAACAGGGCCTCTCATCCACCTCTTCTCTTGGTCCATATTTGCATCTAGGAGCATCTAGGGAGAGATGTGACTTAAAGTCTTACATAGACACTCCTGCTCTTCCTCCCCCATCCTCACTCCAAAGTTGCTTTTTTTGTTTGTTTATCTGGTCAGAGAGATTCATTCATCCCCTCCTTTCCTGGACTGTTGCAATCACACCCTCGCTCCTCTCCCTGCTCCTATTTTGTGCTGGTGAGACGAGGTGTCTGGGGGCCCTGGAAAAAGTCTCTCATTCAAGGCAGTTGGAAGAGTGCTGACTGGGAGCAGGTGAAGCACCTTAAAGCTTGTCTGAGTGATGGCACCCCTGGTATGTTGTGTGCAGTAAGTATGCAGTGGGCTGTGTGAGTGTGGCAATTAGTCATCCATTCAGTATCCAACTAGCCCTGGTAGATGCTCAGCAGGCAGAGTTATGACAGTTCCCAGTAGCCACCCATTTTAATCCTTTGGTACTTGATAGCAGTTTGGTGGCTGGTGGGATTTGCCATAAGCTCTCCATAAGCCTCTCTCATTAGGGATAGGTCCACCCATAAAGGGTCCCCTAGACTGACACAAGATAGAAACTGGAAGAGGAAGCGAGGGCTTGGCTGAATTCTGGTGCTCAGCCAAGAGCTATGACAGGGCCCACTTTGAGTCCTGCTAGTGTCCTCTAATTTTGAGTGCTCAATTGGAGGCACTTAGGGTCTGGATTTTTAGAGTACTTTGCATTGTTCCCCTTCATATGTTCAGAGCAGATGTCAGGCTCCTGCCATCAGGTGTGTCTGGGAGTGCTCAGCACTACTGCACATCAGACCCACTCCACGTTTAAAGCTGTGCACCTGAAAACCAAGGAAAGTACAATGAGACCACCTGGTTATAGCATCACATTTGCCATAGGCTCTCTGTGCAGAGGCCGGAGTAGGACCCACTCCTACACCATGTCTTTCAGAAAA